AGTTCTAATAGGCTCCAGTTTTAATAGGTTTAGGTTAAATCATTCTAAACATGGGGTTAAGTTATAGTACTCATGGGGTTAAATTATCATACTCACAAACACTTACTTATCCTCACAAAAACTTACTCATCCTCACTATCACTTACTCATCCTCACTATCACTTACTCATCCTCACTATCACTTAATCACCCTCACTAACACTTATTCATCTTCACTGTTTACAAATCTATCAATCACTTGCTTGACAATAATTATTACCAGTTCCGGAATAATCAGAGATACAACTTCAGGCACCCAGAGCTACTAAGACCACCCCCCATGCGGCCCTCTCAGTCCCAGACCTCCATAAAATATCACGGTGTGGAACAACTTACCCCCACCCATCCGAGCAAAGACTACGACGCTCCCTTCCTTTAAATCATCTCTTAAAAAATATCTATTGTCTAAGCATTAATACTTATTGTAATACCTACTATATACACAGTACCTGCTTTTATTGTACCATAAAAACCGTTTTATCGGAAATTATCATGTAAATAGATAAGAAATCACCATTGCAATAAGTATATCTAGACATAATCCTGACAGCTCTGTTCTCTTGTTCAACCCATGTTGTACTGCTTCCCCATTATATTTATGTTTTTCAATTCCACTGTAATTTGTGTATATACTTATAAACAAAATAATAATAATAAATAAATAAAATAAATAAATATTGAAGTGATAACCGTGGTAACATTATGAGATGTTCTTATTACCACCATGCTATTGTACTATTCCAGATGATACCAAATGTTACATAATACTTCCTTGAGATAAATGTATAGTATACTATATATCAGGTGTCTACAGGAGAGCTCAGGTTCTCAACTGGCTCAGCCATGTTAATATTGTTATTATTATCAACTCTGTATGTGTTTTTATGGCTAAATTAACTGTTTCAATTCAATTCAACACTTACTCATCCCCACCACAACAAAATCTCAGACCAACTAAGCGTTTCACTCACACCTTTACTCCTGCGTTCATTTTGCTTCTTACAACTTTCTGCTATAATGACATTTTGCATCTGTCTTGCGTGCGTTTGTCAGTAGTGCGTCTGTCGTACGTCCGGGATTACGTCTGGCAGTGCGTTTGTCCATTCCTGTAGGTCAGCTGTTCTTGAGATAGTGTGTTGGTAAATAAAGAGACACTGACCTCCCTACTCACTGGACCTCGGCAGCAGTACTCAACCAGAGCCTCAAGCACACGTTATTGTTACAGCCTCAAGCACACGTTATTGTTACAGCCTCAAGCACACGTTATCATCACAGACAGACAGTCAGACATGCAAGGTTTTTTTTATATATACACGTCAGTAATATGATAAGCACACTATTATCTAGGTATCATGCACTTTTCACCCTTATAACAGACAAAAACAGACAGACATAGACAGACAGACAGACAGACTAGCAGAGGCAGACAGACAGGTAAAGTTTATCTATATACAAAAGGACTATCAGAGCACATCCACCCTCTAGGCTTACGAGTCGTTTCAGAGATAACAAGTACACCAAGTCCCTCCCAGTGATCTTTTTTTCCTGTCACGGTGTCATCATTAGTAGCGTTAACAAAGGTACACAGTTTCATTAACACGGTAACAGGTGTTTTAGAAGGACAAACGTTGGGTCAACTTTTTTTTTTCGCATCCGTTCACGTTAAAGGTCTTATTGAACAGGAACAAAAAATCGTGTGAAAAAAGCTTAGGTAATAATAATAATAATAATAATAATAATAATAATAATAATAATAACACCGGATGTAATTGATGTTATCTATATGACACAGCAACTACCTAATGCTTACCTTAACACATCATAACACTGTCTAAGAACACAACAGTTAGTAATTTTTTGTGAGCCATTTACAGTTATTCTCAATTACAGTTACTCCCAATTACAGTTATTGCCTATTAGTTTTCGTCTATTACAGTTATTACCTATTACAGTTATTACCTATTACAGTTATTACCTATTACAGTTATTACCTATTACAGTTATTACCTATTACAGTTATTACCTATTACAGTTATTACCTATTACAGTAATTACCTATTACAGTTATTACCTATTACAGTTATTACCTATTACAGTTATTACCTATTACAGTTATTACCTATTACAGTTATTACCTATTACAGTTATTGCCGATTAGTTTTCGTCTATTACAGTTATTACCTATTACAGTTATTACCTATTACAGCTATTACCTATTACAGTTATTACCTATTACAGTTATTACCTATTACAGCTATTACCTATTACAGTTATTACCTATTACAGTTATTACCTATTACAGTAACACAACGATACACCGTAGTAATACATCTCCACAGCCATAAAACATAGTTATACAGTCATACGGTTATCCATTCATGCAGTCATACAGTTATCCACTCATACAGTCATACAGTTATCCACTCATACAGTCATACAGTTATCCACTCACACAGTCAAGAACTTAAGCTGGTGTCATAAATATGGGTTACTGTAGTAAAAAAAATATACAATATAATTTAGGTTGTGGTTGTGGTGTAGTGGTTGTGGTGGGGTGGTTGTGGTCTAGTGGTTGTGGTGGGGTGGCTGTGGTGTTAGTAGTTGTGGTGGGGTGGTTGTGGTCTAGTGGTTGTGGTGGGGTGGTTGTGGTGTTAGTAGTTGGTAATGTGGTGTTAGTAGTTGTGGTGGTGGTTGTGGTGGGTGGCTGTGGTGTTAGAGTTGTGGTGGGGTGGCTGTGTGTTAGTAGAAATGGTGTGGTGGTTGTGGTGATTGTGGTGGTTATGGTGTGGTTGTGGTGGTTGTGGTGTGGTGGTTGATGTATGTTAGCTGTGTTGTGGTGGTTATGGTGTGGTTGTGGTGGTTGTGATGATGTGGTACGGTGGTAGTAATGATGAGGTAGTTGTGGTGTGACTTAAAATTTGAACCTCGGACTTAAATCTGATCTTTGGACTTGAATTTGGGCTTGAACTTTGAGTTAAGACTTAAACCTGGACACTGGACTTCAACTTGGACTTGAAGCTCGGACTTAAATCTGGATTTTAGACTAGACTTGGACTTGAACCTTGACTTTGGACTTGAACCTTGACTTTGGACTTGAACCTTGACTTTGGACTTGAACCTTGACTTTGGGATTAAACCTTGACTTGGACTTGAACCTTGACTTTGGACTTGAACCTTGACTTTGGACTTGAACCTTGACTTTGGACTTGAAACTTGACTTTGGACTTGAAGCTCGAACTTGAACATTACATAAACAGTATACCGTCGCATCAGGTTGAGTCAACATTAAACAGATCAAGTCCCGCCTTAAGTAATTCAACATAATATTGTCATAACTTGAATTACCATTATTTCTAAGTAACGGACACTTACACTTAAACGGACACATACTTAAAATTTAATTAATTATCGTAATCCCTTGTGTCTAAGTAATAGTCCCTTGTACCTGTACTTATGACTCAAATATTTAATAATTCCAGTTCTGTCTTTAAGTAAGTCTAACTGTTTTATAAGTAACAGACACTTTGAACACTTGAGGAAATAAACACTTAAAGCCAAAATACTTAAAAGCTAAATGCGTAATATTTAAACACTTTAATAATTAATACTTATACTTTAATATTTAGAAGTTGAATATAATGTACTATATATCACTTAAACCACTATAGAAGTATAAGTTCTTCTTACTTGTACACTTAAAATTTAAATCTCATTACTTAAATTATTTAAAGTTTAATTTCTATTACTTCCCAACTTAAAATGTTTAATTATTACTTAAACACGAAAAATAAATTATATATCTACTGTTTTCATCAAACAATTAAAACTCACATACTTTTTACTTATAACTTATTAGATAAATACTTAAATCTTACATCCTATTACATGAATGATTGAAAGTTACAAATTCCTAACAAGAAACACCGGAAAAACCAGCATGTGGCCTCGTGTAGTTCACTATCTGCGCCACTGTTGAAATTACCTGTATATATAATACCTATTGTAAGACTGAACCCTGGCAGTGAGCCCTACTGTACTAATACCTGCCCTAAGACCTGTACAAACACTTGTCTTAACACCTGTCCTGACACCTGTACTAACACCTGTCTGAGCAGCTGCCCTAACACCTGTGCAAACGCTTGCTTTAACACCTGCCCTAACATCTGTAATAATACCTTCCCTAATACCTGTACTAACACCTGTAATAATACCTTCCCTAATACCTGTACTAACACCTGTAATAATATCTTCCCTAATACCTGTACTAACACCTGTAATAATACCTTCCCTAATACCTGTACTAACACCTGTAATAATACCTTCCCTAATACCTGTACTAACACCTGTAATAATGCCTTCCCTAATACCTGTACTAACACCTGTAATAATACCTTCCCTAATACCTGTACTAACACCTGTAATAATACCTTCCCTAATACCTGTACTAACACCTGTAATAATACCTTCCCTAATACCTGTAATAGCACTGTATTAACACCTGCCAGACATAAACACGAAAATAACTTACTATACACTGGAACAACACAACCCGGTGATGGGAACAAACCAAGGAAGAGAGAGATAAATAAAGGGAAAAGAGAGAAAAGGAGAGTAAGGACTAATGGATAAAGATAAGAAGAGAGAAAGGAGAAGGGGAGAAGAGTAATACAAACAGAATTGGGTAAAGTTGGTTTTGCTAAAGGAACGATAGGGCGTGGTTAAGAGGAAAGTGGGCGGAGTTTCGGAAGGAAAAGTAGCAAAATGGGAGGAGCTTAGAAAGGAAAGTATCAAAGTGGACAAGACTGAGGAATAAAAAGTAGCAAAGTATTATAGTGGACGGAGACTGAGGATGAAATGTAGCAAAGTGGGCGGGACTTTGGAATGAAAACAAGTCTAGGTGGGCGGGGCTCAGGAGGCGAGGTTGTACACTTAGCGGTCCACGGTGCCCTGGGCGACACTCGTGCTCCGGCAGCTACACAGGTCGGACGTGGTGCGCACTTCTCTCTCTCATATTACCTGTGTGACCGTAATTACTCGCGTGTGTGTTACCTGTGCTGAGGAATAATGTGGATAACTAGTAAAGGTGAGTTACTATCGGTCGTTGGGATATTTTTTTTTTTAGATTAAATTAGGTGTGTGTGTGGAGGGGGGGTGAATCAAATATGCTCTAATTCCGTCCAGTCTAATCCCTAATCCAGCCTAATCTGTAACCCACCCTAAGCACCAACTAAGCTTTATCACCAGGATTGAGACCCATCAGGATAACATGCATAAAGACGGGATTATTAGGACTGTGGTCGAATTAAAATGTATTAAGTTGGGTCCTCGTTAAAAGCTTATTTGACCAATCATACAGAGGCACCAGTCATTAGCAAGGTTTTCTTTGCGTGGTGGTTGCTACGCTAACCTAAACTCAACCAAATGATAAGTAATTACAACCAAAACATTGGGGAAAAAAATATCACCTAAGTAGTGTGTTTACCAGTGTTGAATGTGAGCAATATACAGAGCCAATGTTGACAAATGCAGATCAATGTTTATATAACAAGACACGACTCATCACATGTCCACACAACCGTAAGCGTGTGTGTGTGTCTTGGGGAATCTGTGTAAATTTGAGTGAGTGTGTATTGTGTGTGCGTGTATGTAAGGGAAAGAGTTGGTGTCAGTGCACGAACGAGTATGTTTGTATGCGTGTGTGTATGCGTGCAACAGCATATAATGGCCTCCCTGAAGAGAAGGAAGGAAGGGAATTCGGCCCCCATAATACCCCCCCCCACCCCCTCATAGAGTGGTTAAACAAGATGGGGGCAATTACACGCCTTAAAATACTTTATAGGCACGAGGTGTATCGGCTCCGATCTCTACTACCGGTCCGGGTGTAACGGGTACCGATTAACCCACGCCAATTAGGCTATTTTCGGTATGTGTGGATGGTTAAGTGAGCTCCTGAAACTGTATTGGTCCTAACACGTTGCCCTGGAGTATACTTTGTGGGCGACCAACACGGGCAGGCATAGCTGTTATCTCTCTCTCTCTCTCTCTCTCTCCTTGACACAATATCGGCACCATGAGAATCACTTGAAGTAGTTCTGAAGGTAACAGCCTTGAAACTGGCAGTGGCCTGAAGAGTAAGTCACTAACCTACTCTGCCAGTATTTTAGTCTGCCTTTACTGACCTGACTGGTGGATATTGATAGAGTGAGGGAAAAAACCCATTGTGGAGTAAGTCTCTGACCTCTTGTGACGCCATAAACAGTGAGTCATATGCTATCTTTGCTGACCTGTCTTGTGGATGTTTGTTACAAGTGAGGGACTTTTTTCTCGAGCGTAACTTACCGCAGCTCGTCTGTTCTTTGCGGCGATGAGGAACATAACAGAACACATAGTATCATGAGACACGATATAACACATCACTTTTCTGTGTTTATCATGTTATTAGTCAAATGTTCTCAGCAAGGGGTGAGGTATAACACATGCTAGTTTTCTGTGTTCGTTGTATTATTGCCTTCCCTTAACCCCCACCTCACCTCTCCCCCACCTCACCCCTCCCCCACCTCACGTCCCGCCAGCCAAACAATCACTCCACCTCGCCTCTGTCACCTCGTATGTAAATCAACCCCGTATCCCAAGGCTAACAACCGTAGGGCAATTGTGGTAACAACTAGCACATACAGGGACTGACACACACACACACACACTTACTCTAGACGACCTCTGGCTGGCATATACCTGGATTATCAAAAGCAAAAATATAGATTGTTTAGAAAATGTAGGGAACACAGACACTGCCGTGGGAGACTCGCACATCAACACGTGAGGACAGTGTTGTTGTTGTAATAATTGTTTTCACTTGTTAATGTGTAAGGTCTCCCACAGGTGAGGACAATGTTGTTAATAGTAATCTAAGTATTCATGTCCTCCATAAAAATCGCTGAGGCAGTGTGTACTTTTCTTGACACATCCTGGTATAAGAGTTGTCTTCATTACCCTCCAAGAGGAACCACCTGAAGAAGACAACAACTTTTACACAGTCTTCCTTTGGGTATTAAATTGCAATCATCAACTTTGCTACCGTCATAAACCATATACGTCACCTTCACCAGCCTGCAGCAGACTTACAGACTCTAACCATCACTTTTTATCTGTACTTATATAAAATTTGCGTCAGAATTCTCATATTTTTTACCAAGTTTTATTAAGCAAGGATGCCCGGTCTGCCCACCTGATCTGATGGGTGGATATTCTTTACCCATGAGAGATGTTTTCTGGTTGACCGTGTCGTAACTCGGCCAGTGCTCGTCAATCATGTTGGATTTGTGGTTTAATAGACAGTGTATATATTCGTGATGTCTGGCCATGAAGTCTGTGATCTGATAGTTAATTCATCTGACTGCTGGCCATTGTAACTAAAACCTATATCAGTGAGGAACCAAATATTTTGCGTAAATGTTGTCTGTTACAGAAAGAAGTGACATGAACCTGTGAGTTATCAGGTATAAGTAACCCGTCAGTGGCGTTTATCAGGTTTCATCTAGCCACGAGTCACATGAACGAGCTGAGGCTACTCTTTGGTGATCGTGTAGTGTCTTAGTCATTATGGTCACCTCGATCCCCAGACCTTACGTTACAAATCCACGCGTCCTTGGTGAATTAAAAGTAGTAATCCGTGACACAATCAGCAATATTCCCCAAGATATGCTACACTCTATATCATGGTGGTGGACACTTTAACACATCATTTAGGGTAATCAATTGTGTGGGTCATGTCACGTGTTTCTTTAACATTAGACTACAGTACATTTACACAAAGTATTAGGTTCCTCACTGATATAGTTTTTAGTGTATGGGAATTATTTAAAGCTCTCGAATAAATTACTCACCCTGTATATGGCTGTTGTGTATAGTGACGAGAACGTGATACTGTATGAGAAAATGTCTTTACAGTTACAAGAGTGTGCAGTAATATATGAGTGAACAGTTAGAGGTGTGTGGTGGTCAGAGGCGTGAACTTAGTTACCATCATGTTAATTGTGCTGCCGTCTTGAGGGTCAGCACACACACACACACACACACTGCCACACCTGTACGTGATTAAGCACATTTAGTTACCAGGTGTAGTGAGTTTGGAGGACATTTATGTACACCTGTATCGTCACACACACACACACGCGCAGTCAGTGCTGGCAGAAGGCTGGGTGAACGGTCGTCTGGAGTAGTTCCCCTAAGCTTTTTTTTTTGTGGGGTGAAAGGGAGAGCTAGCTCCCTTAACACTAGAAAACTCGGTGCTGGCTGGCAGAGAACCGTGAGAACGTTCGTCAGGCGTAACATCCAAAAGCCGAGGGAAAGACCAGGTACTGTTGATTGCTCATACTGGCGATGTTTTGCTGTGGTATGATCCTTTGCTAGTCGTCTGGCGCACTTCTTCTTTGAAAAAAAAATTACCATAAGTCGTCGTTCCTGGACCAGATGTTCAGTGATGACGGATGAACAACATAGTGTACAACAGGTAGTTTAATGTACTGTACTCTCGGGTAACATGACAACACTTGTGTTTTCATGTGTAAGAAACGTTGGCTAAGTATTCACGAGCCTCCCATTTTCTCCAGGCACAAACGTTCACTGTACACTATTGTACCATACGTCTGTATGTTTAACTTGCAATATCTAAACGTTCTTAACCTTACGTGTGCAGGATTTAACTTGAGATATCTGAACGATTTTTTTAACCTTACGTAGGTACTGTATGTTTTAATTTACGATAGCTAAACGGTTTTTACCCATACGTCTACATATTTAACTTACGATAGCTTCTTACTTGAACTTACAGACTATAACTCAATGTCGGCCAATTTGAACCTTAGAACGTTATGGAAGAATTAAACCTAAACTAGACCGTTAAACCTTGCCTATGTGTACCAAACGCTAAGTAAACATACCAGCACTGTGCACCTCCCTATCAAACCTTATCGGCATTTATATAGTCAACCTTTACGTGATAAGCAAATACAAAACCTGAACAAACACTTTAAATGATCACCTGCCTGTATTTAACACGCCAGGTAAACATGTTAAACTTATTGTTAATGTTTTCGCAGTTCATACGAATATGTTAATTTCCTGATTGCGGAAGTTCAGCCACGGTCGAAATTCCTTGAACACTGAACAGTATCCGGCTTCAAGTTGTGAGTGGTTTATGGTGAACGTTACTTGGTTTATAGCTGGTGAACGTTACTTGGTTTATAGCTGGTGAACGTTACTTGGTTTATAGCTGGTGAGCGTTACTTGGTTTATAGCTGGTGAGCGTTACTTGGTTTATAGCTGGTGAACGTTACTTGGTTTATAGCTGGTGAGCGTTACTTGGTTTATACAAAAAGAGCAATCAGCTGTCAAAATCACACCTAACCTAACCAAGCATTACTTAACCTAACCAATCATTACCTAACCAAACTAACCTAACCAAACTAACCTAACCAAACCTAACCTAACCAAAACCTTACCTAACGTTACTTAATTTATACAAAAGAAGTAAACAGCTATCAAAATCACACCTAATAAACATTACCTAACCTAACTGACCCTCAAGTACTCACACACTGTAATGAATGACTCGGACACACTAAGAGGAACGATAATTACAGTGTTTAGTGTGTGACAGATGACGTCATACTATACATGTAGTTAGTACGTGTTGGTAGGATTTTTATTTTTAATTGTATATAATTATTTACGGTTGATCTTAATACTGTGGGAGATGTGACCATTACAGCAGTGAGAGTGGAGTGGAGGTGTACAGCAGAGAGAGTGGAGTGGAAGTGTACACCAGTGAGAGGGGGGAGTGGAGGTGTACACCAGTGAGAGGGGGGAGTGGAGGTGTACAGCAGTGAGAGGGGGGAGTGGAGGTGTACAGCAGTAACAGAGTGGGAGGTGTACAGCAGTGAGAGAGTGGGTGTACAGCAGTGTGCTGGGGGTGGAGGGTGTACAGCAGAGTGGATGTACAGCAGTAAGAGTGGAGGGAGGTGCAACGGTGAGAAGTGGAGGTGTACAGCAGTGAGGTGAGGTGTACAGCAGTGAGAGGGGGGT